CCTTAGTTTATCCTTTGATTCAGCACTGTAGAAGAAGGCAGGGATAGATTGATTATAATGCTTAAGTTAAAGCAGTGCACTTTTACCTGCAAAAACCTCTCTTCAATGTAGCTCCATCCCTTAGTGCTTCTATAGTAAGAAATGTTGGATTCCAAAAAAATTAAATGTTTTGTTAAAATGTCTCTCCCCCATTCCTCCACTGTAAAATAGCACAAAAGGAAGAAATTAATTTTTCTGTAGGTCTTGGCATCATGTCATGACCACTTTTTTTTTTTAGTAGAGTGCTTCGAAGTCTCAATCCACAATGAGGCGTATAGGTGAGCTGTTTTCCTAGAGTGGCCATCTTCTTAGCCTGCTCCCCAATTAAGGAAGGCAGACAGCCTCCTGAAGCACACTAATCAGTCAATGGCTCCAGTGCTTTCTGCAGCAGGAAAAGTTCTTTTGATTGTCTCCATGCAGAACTGTGACATTTCAGTACTGATACCCAAGTTGCAACAAAAGTTCACTATCTTTGCTTCTGAGATGAATGGATTGTTCTGAGAAAAGCTTAAGTAGACTGCACGGACTCCTGAGTTAAAAATGTAAAGTAAAGTAATCAGGATAGGTACTGAGGACATGTGTTACCCTTGGAGACAGTAAGGACTGCAGATGCGTGAAGCTAGAGTCCGTAAATATGGAGCTGGAAAAGCACAGCAGGTCAGACAGCATTTGAGGAGCAAGGAAGTCGATGTTTCGGGCCAAAACCCTTTGTCAGTGTTACCCTTGGTTTGGTAATGTAGAATATGGGTTCACATACCTAAACTAATAATGTTGGTCATTCAGAATTGAGATAAAAGAAGTTTCTTCATTGAGAGGGTTGAATGTTTGAAATGTTCGATCCTGGAGAGCACTTTTTTTTCATTCTTAGGATGTGGGTATTGCTGGCTAGACCAGCATTTATTGTCCAGAGGGCATTTAAGTCAACTATGTTGCTCTGGGTCTGGAGTCACATGTAGGCCAGCCTAGGTGAGAATGGCAATTTCATTCCCTGAAGGACAGCAGTACAGCAGATGGGTTTGTCCCAACAATTGATAATGGTTTCATGATCATTATTAGTTTCCTAATTCCAGATTTTTGTTGAATTCAAACTTCATCTGCCATCATGGGATTCAAACCCAGGTCCCCAGAATAGTACCTAGGTCTTTGGATTAATAGTCTAGCAATAATACCACCAGGCCATCATCTTGCCCTTTAAAAAAGGTACTAACAGCAATGAGCAGGTGAGACACATAAATAGCTGTCATTCTCAATGGCAGCAAGCTTGGAGAGTCAAAACTTTTTTCTTACTGCCTAGATCAACTTCCTTCCTGGAAAAAGAAACTTGACAAACTATACTTAAATATCCATCATGTAAAATCTAGAAGTTACACTGAAAACTAGTTTGATCTTACAGGATGAAATCTTCGACATGGTTAAGCCCAAAGATCCATATAGAATCACCCTTCAAGATTTAATAAGCAGTGGACAAGGTGACACAGTCAGCAGTATTCTAATTGATCTGAATGGTTTTTGGACTTATGAAAACAGAGAAGTTCTTGTTGCAAATGACAATGACGGTAGTGCTGATCTGGATGATTCATGATTCTATTAATACAACTTTGATTCCTGTACTGAGTTTGTAAATTGTACATGATAAATTGTATGTGATAAATAGTCATCATAAATTTTTATTAAAGTTTTGTAGTGTACAAAAGTGACCTTTGCTTATTTTTATAAAGAATTAAAATAAATAATTAATTATAGGTTAAACGAAACAATATTGTTTCTAGTATTAACAGTTTAATTACAGCAGATGCATGATATGAAAACAAAATTAGATGAAAGATCGCAAGGCACAACTGCATTTTCAGTGAATTAAGGCATAGCTGTTTTCTTCAGGGTAACGGGCAGCACTGAACCCTTGCATCATCTTCCATAGGATGACTTCCTCTAAGTTGGAATAGGATCGCTTTTTTGTTTGGTTTCTGTTATAATGGTGGGATCACTTTCCATTTCAAAGCTGACATTCACAAATGATGCATTAACTACTGGCAGACCATCATGTGTACTAACCATCTCTTGCTGCTGTTCCATTTGCTCTTTGTAATTGTTTTCAGCTTCTTCTGACATTTTATTTTCTTCCTCTTCTTCCTCCTCCTGTAACATTTACATGTATTAGCAAGCCTAGCTGGAAAAGTCATTTGCCTAATTAAATGAGATCCTTTTACAAACTTCCTATAAAAAGGAACTTTTTATGCCAATTCCATGCTATCCTCTCCTGTTACAGGCATTATTATCTGTAACCTTCTAGTACTGTGGATTAATTTCATGTTGCTAAATTTTTAATAGCAGGTCTAGTTTACTACTACAGGGAATAGTCTGTATTCTTCTGACATTTACAGAACTGAATGCTGACTAATTTGCCTATTGGCTGTGATCAGTTAATTTCACACAAAAAAACTTCTCAAATCTGACCACCTCCATGATCTACCTAGGTAATCTGTTTACTATATCAGCTTGCATAGCCAACAGATGAGTCAGTTGTATCTGACCTTACATGATATCTACACAAATCTCTTCCAATTTTATGACTTGGCAACTGCAGTAACTGGGCAGAAATAAGTGACATACATGCTTCTTGGGTGTTATGTATTGATCCTCTTCTTCCTCCAATGACAGTGCATGAAACATTAATCTCAACTACATGGTGTAGATATTCTAACTTGCAAATAGTGATTCCATCATATCAAACTTTATGGATTTTTTTCCACCATACCAGATTATTATTCCTGATTTCCTGTCTGTAGGTATTAATGCTCAATGATGGATGAATTTTTTCCCCCACATTATCTGGTGACTCTTGCATGTTTAAAAGGGTTTGAATCTTATGTACTTTCTAGAATGCAAATTCAATTATACATGTAAAATTTAAGACATTAATATTGATAGCCTAGTTCACATTTATAGCCACACTATAAATATTATAAATTAAGGGTAGTCTAAGATAATTCCCTGAGTTTATAAAGACTTTTTGCTGCTTGTTCATTTCTAAAACAAGTGAAATGGCTTGCTGAATTTGACTTATTAAACGAGTATAGACAGTCCGCTTACCTCCTTTTTTATCCTGTAGTACTCATCAATTGCATACTGGTATTTTGGAGCGTTTATACCAAAAAGTGAAGCTAACTTTTCTCCCAAGAAGTCACAAACTTTAAAAACAAAAGTAGCCTGTTAGTAAAAGCTCAGTTTTATGGTGAACAAAATGGTGCCAAAAACCCATTTTCTTTTGCCACTCGTTCTAGAATTTTCCTGCTTCCACTATTTTGCTATGATCCCGCTTGGCCTGCTGTGTTCATCCAGCTCTACACCTTGCTATGATTGAAGTCTGGTTTCGTGTTTCTCCTCCATTTTAATCTTGAACCTTCAGCCATATTTCAAAGATTGTCATTGATCTCATCTCTGAAGAACTTAAATTTCAAGACCTCCAAAACTCCTTTATACTCAAAAAGGAATGCCAAAGTTGATCTACTGTTTCAGCCTGATCCTGCCAACAAAATGTTTCTTCTTTACTTTTTTCCTACCCACGTATGAATTTTGCAGAGTCTTCTGCCTCAGTCAATTTTTTAAAAGTTAGTTCGAGAATGAGTGTTACTGACCAGGCCAATATTTAACATCTATTCCCTACTACCTTGGAAAAGATGATGGTGAGCTGCTTTCTTTAACAGGTGTTCCTACATTCCAAGGATTGCAGTTGTTTAAGAAGCTGGTTTACCCCCCCAATTCGATTAGGATAGGAAATTTATTGTTCTTTCTCTATGGATATTTATTTCTTTCATTTTAATCATCTTTTCCTCCCAAAAACATCACTATAAAATCTGCCTGGATGCTAATAATGCCTACCCTTCTGTAGAATCGTGGTTCTATTTGTACTCCTTTCCTCCCTGACCTCCAGCCTCTGCATTTGGCTTAGGTGCTTCTAGAGAAGGTGGAATAAAAGTAAACACAGCTCCCATTCCAAATTGGTATACGGTGAGTTTTGGTCAAGAGAGAGCACGCGCGCGAGCAGACCTGGCTTGGCTGCTATAGTGTCCATGACCGAACAACCTACCAACAGGTGGGGGGAAAAAAAACTCATTGACCTGCAGCATCTAGGGCATCACAGCTCAATAACAATTACTCCACTGGAAAACTAATGTGAGAAGATAAATGCAAGTGCCAGAAAAAAGGACATCAGAATTGTTTTTTTTTAAATCAACTACTAACTTTACATCATTAGTGCTGTTTTTATTTTTGGTCACTTAATACTGTCACTATCACTTTTCTAAAAACAGCTTTTAAAAAAGCTGGTTTACATTTCCCCCCTCCCTCAAGCCAAATAAGCAAAGCTAAAGGAGCAATATATAGCAGAGACACTGAGGAGGTATGCTGCTCAAGTTGCAGTCAGCCAGCAAAGCAGTGACTGATTTTAGAGTAGGTTCACTTGCACAGAAGATAGCAAAATTATTGAAATGCAAAAGAAACCTGCATGCCATCAATCACCTGCATGTAAAGTGATCCTATTAACATCTTCCTTGCTCAACAGAAAAAAAATGAATCAGCTTTGGCACCTCATTTTCAGCATCAGGAGTTTTGGTTGTAGAAATGTAAACTTAAACCCATAGTCTTAATAATTCAATTAGAAAGTTTATTTGCAGTTTAAATGCAAATATTTTAAAAAATGACATTTATTAAGAATGACATGGGGCTACTCTGTGGCTCAGTGGTTAGTACTGCTGTCTCACAGTACCAGGGACCCGGGTTCAATTCCAGCGACGGGTGAGTGTGCAAACTACACAGACAGACATTCTTCCCCATGGCTGCATGGGTTTCCTCCAAATGCTCCAGTTTCCTCCCACAGTGCAAAGATGTGTAGGTTAGGTGGATTAGCCATGGGAAATGCATGCCTAGGGTGGGGGGTTGAGTCTGGGTGGGATGCTCTTCAGGGAGTCAGTGTGGACTTGTTGAGCTGAATGGCCTGTTTCCACACTGTAGGGATTCTTAAAAATAGATTACATTACTTCCCCATGCCATAATTTCTTGATTAGCAAAGTAAATGATTCTCCAGGGATGTTTTTCACAATCAGGAAGTTGTAAATGTGGATTTCAAAGAGTGAAACTTCAAATATTGTTCACACAAATTACTATTGTAACCATTATAACATATATGCAGATCATACCTGACAGTGTTCCTGTAGCAAATCTTAGCATGTAAAACCACAAAAATGGGCCCCAAGGAAGTTTGGTCTGGGAATAAAATGTTTCACATTATGCATTAGACATTGAAGTTATTTTTGTGTAATAGATTAGGAATTCAATAAACTTCAACCTTACAGTATCAATTATAGGCAATAAGTCTTTCTTTTCATCTTCCTGATCCTCCTCATCTGTGCTATACTCCTCCATAGTTTCGCCACTAGCAAAGTGAATGATTCTTCGAGGAAGCTTTTGCTTTTTCGTATTCACATCTCCAAGTTCTACATTTTCAAATGATTTTCCATTTGCCTGCAACTTTAAAAAAGGGAAGAAAATAAAAGTGAAACCATCCAAGTCAATGGTTATTGGGTACATGCAAATCATGTAGTATTTTACTTTGGAAGGACTGGGTCATGTGATTAACATTGTTTGTGTATCTTCGCAAGTCAGGCTTAGAATTGAGACGGACTCGGGGCCTGGGGCCCGGCCGCTAGATGCTGTTGGGTTTGGAGCGCGCCCAGTGCTGGCAGAGCTCGGGGCCCAGCCGCTCAATACACCCGGGACTCGGTGCTAACCTCCCCTTTCTCCTCCGGGCCTTACCTTCTCCGCGTCCGTGTTACCGCCGGCCAGTAGCATATTGCCGGGACTGAGGTAGAGGCCAAGACCCGGTAACTTCTCCGCCATTCCCTGTGATCCACCGCCGAGTGAGCGCACAACAGCCCAGTGCTTGATAGGAAGAGCCACCTCTCACCCCACCCGCCTGCACTCTGCAAGGCTGTACAGGAACTGTCGAAACAACGTCTGTGAGCGTGATCTCGATTAGTCAGAAGAAGGAAAAAAATAACAAAATGCTTATTATTGACTGTACCAGTTCGCCTATTAGATTCATTCACGAATCTTAAAGCGTGTTAGAATGCACTACTCTAATAACAAGCCCAAATGAAAAGGAACTAATTCCGACTGTCCCAAAAATCTAAATGAATCGGTTCCAGACGTTTAAATTGAAAAGACTACACTGGTTCTGAAATCTCTGGTTATCGGACCACATCTCTGAAGCAGTTTGATAAAGTGACCATTAAGAGTTCTGTTCTAGAATTAGTAAAACTAACTGATGCCTCAGAGGGTTGGAGGAATTACACAGAGAAGCTTGTATAATCGAATGTTTTATGTTTAACTTTTATTTGTGTTTGGGATAGAGTTATGGGAAACATACTCTTCTGCTTTAATCTACCAATTTAGTTTTAACGCAGACACTTGTGTCTGGTAAAACTCTAATATTCATAATATAATAGCTGTAATAAATGTCTGTTGGATTCTTCGAAAACACTGTATCTCCAACCAGGTGTTTGTGATATGGGAAATAACATAAGCATTACTGCATTTGGTAAAATACTTTGTTGGATGTGAACTTGCACTGAACTACCAGCAGCAGAGATCTATAGAGGACTCCAGTATATTGGTGGTTGCTATATAGAAAACTAATAAAGACCAATCAGACTGCAACAGAAAATTTGGACAAAGGGACAGTTGCTCATACTGCAATACTATTAATTTATATGAGTACAGTCAATGATACAGATCTGTATTTAAGGCATTGACTGCCAAGAAGACAGATTATTTGTTTTAGTTGGGATGTAAATTCAAGTTACAAATGAACAAAGATTGCCTCAATTAAATTTTATTTTTACAAATTTCATGTTTGAGAGGAGGCAGTGTTTTAAACTACAGAAAACTGAAACCTAGAACAATTTGTTCCTGAAAGATGATACAAAATTAATACCTCTTAATCACTGTAGCCACAGGGTTTGGTTCTTAAAGAAGAGAACTTTTAATTTCCACTGACATGAAGTCAAGGAGTATTCGTTTTTAACTTTTATCGACTTAAAGGTACAATCCGCCCTTTTAAAAGTTGAATCATGGATTGCAAAAGCCTAATTATCAAATGGGCATCTTGTGACATCCTTACTGAATTATAACTGTGCAAACACCAAATATAGTTCCATTTTACAGATCAAGTGACAGATGATCCTGAGGAGGAAAAAAAAGCTTTAAAAATATTGCTTGCCTTTAGCTTAACACATCTGGTCGTTCCAAATACCACAGGAAAGACCCCGGACAGACTTGGAAACTTATCGAAGACTGTTCCAAGGTAAGAATTAACTTGAGGTTTAGAGATTCCAATTCATATCATACAGATAGAAACCCCCCAAGAGTCTATTGATCAGTTTATTGAAAGATATTGTAGCATAGTGCATGAGTATAACTTTATAAAGAGGAACTGTCAGAAAGACTTAGTGTGCTAGTCACCATCTCTACCCCAATTAAAGTCTTTAGGAAGGTTCTTTTGTAGAAGCAAAAGGACCATACCATTGCAACGATACTTGAGGATGGACACCAGTATGAAGCTATAGTGCAGGCCACAATAATAGAATGTTTTAGGTGTGGCCTGCACTGTTGCTATGGTCAGCAAAGTACATCAAACCAACAAAATCTGTAACAGATATGGTTTGTTGCACTGTCTTTGGGGACAAACTCATACCAGATGATAAACCACGATTGTGCCTAAATGAGAAAAGAAGCTGTCTTACACAACAAAATATGGTTTATTACATGATGAAAATAGGTACAAGTTACATTGCCTAGTCTGGCATAATTATAAAGATTATCAGGAGCAAGAGATGGCATAGCTATCCTCATTGAGACCTTGTACTTCCTGGAGTCATAGAGAGAGACGCATGGAGTCATACAACAAAGAAGGCCTTCAGTTGATCGGTCAGCACAGACACAGGGTCCACTAATCCCACTTTCCAGCACTTGGCCTCTAACTTTAACTGTTGTGACATGTCAAGTGCTCATCCATGTATTTTAACAGTTATGAGGTCTCCCTCCACTGCCCTCCCAGGCAATATATTTCAGATTCCCACCACCCTCTGGGTGCAAAAAAACTTCCATAACTCCCTGCTAAGCTTCCTGCCCTTCATGTTAAAATTATGCCCCTCATTATTGGCCTTCAACTTGGGAACAGCTACTTCCTCTCCACCTTGTCCATGCCCTCATAATCTGATATATATCTCAATCATGTTCCCCCGCAGCCTTCTCTGTTCTAAAGAAAACAACCCAAGTTTATCCAGCCTCTCTTTGTAGCTAAAATGGCCAGTTTCAGATGACATTCTGGTGAATCTCCTCTGCACCCTGTCCAGTGTAATTACTCCTTTCTAGAACTGCACAGAGTGCTCCAGCTGTGGCCTAACCAAAGGTTTGTACGGCTCCAACATAACTTCCCTGCTCTTATAATCTGTGTCAGGACTGATAAAGACAAATGTTCCATATTCCTTCTTAACCACCCTATTAGCCTGCCCAGCCACCTTTATGGATCTGAGGACAAGGACCCCATGATCCCTCAGTTCTTTCTGTCCAAAGACTATGCAGCTTTGCTATTAACTCTTTCAGAGCCATTACCTCATACAAAACTTCCTCCAAGCTGCTCTACCCGTGGTTAATATTTATGCATTAAAGTTAATAAATACTTCTCCATTTACTGTCTAACTCCACAAATTAAAGTGGTCCAGAGGATTCACAATTCTCCAAGTTGTGTCATGACTTTCACTAGAACCTTTGATTTCATGTGTGTCCATTATGGAAAGTTGGTGCTCTGTTGAAACAAAGCACTAAGGGCTGCACAGTGGCACAGTGGTTAGCACTGCTGCCTCACAGTGCCAAGGACCAGGGTTCAATTCCACTATTGGGCAACTGTCTGCGTGGAGTTGCACATTCTGCATGTGTGTCTTCTGGGTGCCCCAGTTTCCTCCCACAGTCCAAAGATTTGCAGGCTAGGTGGATTGGCCATACTAAATTGCCTGTAGTATTCAGGGATGTATAGATTAGGGGGATGGGTCTGGGTGGACTTGTTGGGCCAAAGGGCCTGTTTCCACACTGTAGGGATTCTATCAAATACTTTTGTCCTTATAGTATCCTGAATTTTTAGACCAAGTAATATCTTTGTAAGTGTGAGATCATGCACTTTGGTGAGAAGAATAAAAACATGGACTATTTTCTAAATGGGGAGAAAATTCAGAAGTCTTAAGTGCAAAGAGACTTGGGAGTTCTAGTCCAGATTCTCTCAAGGAAAACTTGCACGTTGAGTCAGTAGTCAGTAAGGCAAATGCAATGTTGGCATTTATTTTGAGAGAACTTGAATATAAAAGCAGGGATGTACTACGGAGGCTTTATAAGGCTCTGGTCAGGCCACATTTGGAGTATTGTATGCAGTTTTGGGCCCCATATCTCAGGAAGGATGTACTGAGTGGTGAATCTATGGAATTCATTGCCATAGAAGATCATGGAGTACATTTACGACTGAGGTAGATAGATTCTTGATTATCAAGGGGATCAAGGGTTACGGGGAGAAAGCAAGAGAATGGGATTGAGGAACTTATCAGCCATGATTGAATGGTGGAGCAGGCTTGATGGGCCAAATGGCCTAATTTCTGCTCCTATGTCTGATGGTCTTATGGTCTTATGGTAACCATGACCTGAACCATGAACATGTGTCTCCATGGAGTGTTCAAGTAAATCTTTACTTTCAGTCTGCTAAATCTGTAATCTCTCAATCTCTAATCTCTTTACTTCAAATTGTTGAGTAGGTTGGATGTATTCATTTGCCCTATGGATGTCCTACTGGTGAACTAAGCATTTTTCTAAACTTAGTTGTGTCACTAGGGGATTGCTGATTACTTAGCGTTATCTTTGTGATTGATACTGATAATTCTTCTTTGGAAGATGAAGAATTGAAATATTGTTCTTGAACTGGTGTTAGCTCATCCTTCCAGATTGTTATGACACAGAGACAGACAACTGACCCACATCAGCCTCTCTGCCTCTGTATTCGCAATACAGTAAAATTAAAACCTTCAAAGACCTTAAAAAATGACCCAAATGTCAGAAAGTTAACTAAGAAATCATCATTTGGATTTCTTTGGTATCTAAATGTTGCTTTATTCTGTTTAACTCAAAAGTTATTAAATTTTTAGTAGATAACTCATGATGGCGTTAAAGCTTGTAATCTTGCTTTAAATAAATGTTGTTTTAATTTGCTTACCTTAAAGTCTCTTCAACTTTTAAATTCTGTATAATAGAAATATTACAAAACTTTTTTTCATTTGTAAGTCTTATGAACTCTATTACGGTACTGCTTGTGATAGTCTTCCAAGATAGCTTAAAATTCTGTATAGGGCAGTGTTGTGTCTCTACTGATTACTGGAGATTATCCCAATAAAAATGGAGGTATCCCAACCTGTACAGGTTTTCTCATCTTCTGGAGGCAAGATGAAAGTTTCCTGTTCTATCATGGGCAAAATCGCATTTCCCACCTTTTACAGATTACAACATAATATATGACCCTTTGCCAAATTTTATAAATAAGCCTCGTTATGAACTTTGAGCATTTCACATCCTTTAAATTCTTCTGTCTCTATTCATTACCCTGTATGTTCAAACTGTTTTAAATTGCACTTTTGTTGCCATAAATATACTCTGTAACTTTCCCGATACCACAACCTTGGAATAAGTTAATTTTCTTCCCTTGTACTATCTAATGCAACCTTGCCTTTTTGCACCTGTTTACATTGGTAGTGATGCTTGTTTTGATAAGTCTGTTGTCTGTCTTTTTCACCTTTTCTCCTTCACAGCCATTATTGTAAAGGTCTTTCCCCTTGCTGCAGGATTTATAGCATTATTCATGTAGCTCTTAACTGCTCCTACAGATCCTTTCTTCTGTAAGGACGCTGTAACTTCCCGGTGTGACTAGTTTTTACTCACTTCCGAGCCAAGCTAACTGCTTGTTTTTCCTCTGTTACCTTGAAGTATATATGCAAGTATCCCTGCTACTGATTATCATGTCATAACTGATAGCTTGTATTTGGGGTATAGTGAGGCTACAAAGCCTCCTCGATGCTATTTTTAAAGAACCAAATAAAACAAAATTAGTGTAGGTTTCCCTAATAAAAATCAAAATTCCAAAGGAAAATCATGTTTTCTACTGAATCCAAATCCCTACCTAATTCACAGTGGGAACAGATAATCACTATTTAATCTTAAAGAGAGGCACCTGTCTTACTCAATAAGGTGTAGTTTGTTGCACAATGCAAAAGATATGTTACATAGACCAGTTAAGCATAATTACAAAGGCAAACAAGAGTCTGAGACGACTCATCTGTCTCCATTGTTATCTCATTCTAAGATCCTTCTTCTCTATCCAAAGATTGTATGACATCATTAGATTGATGGAACTTAATGCAGCTTCAACAGTAATACTTCTGGATT